GCCCAAGCGCCCAACACATCAGGACCAGAGGCCGACTGAATGGATGTGGCATGGAAAGACATACCAAGGTATCTACGTGGTAAGACATGCAGAGGAGGAACAGGAGGACCAGGACCCCTTTCTCGTTCCATTCCGTCGCTTCCTGCTGCGGCCAATATGGTCTACCAACTTACGCACCGCAGGATAGGATAGGCCGGGCAGGCAGGCGGCTTCGAGTTCCAAACGTCGCTCTTTCCTGAGATGATCTTACCCCGCATTTCATTCGGTCTTCTCATTCGCTCCTTCCCGGTGACGTCTTCAGCGGGGGTCTAGCTGGTTCCAAGTGCGTTTAGCGTCGTTTTCCGACAGTACGTATCCCGGCTCGCTGCCCCCAAGGTGCCTTAACGGCAGGTCGTGATTGGCCGTGAGTCCCTGAGCTCTGCAAGCTTGGGGCTAGGGACCTGCTGGGGCCTCTGCCGCTGCCGTAGCCTCCGCGCCAGCCCGCGCAGATGGCAGCCCAGTCGGTCTTGCCTTTTTGGAGAGACTTTGGCGTCGTTCATTCCACTCTTCTCTCCACAGATTCCCGTCTCCATCGTCGAGGGCGTGCTGCGGTGCAGTGCAGTGCAGTGCAGGGCCAAACGGATGGGAGGTGCAGGGGCAGGCAGGAACCACCGACACGAGAGGGCAAGAGCGAGGGGAAAGGGCAGGAATACGCAGTACTCCGTAGCAAGACAGGCAAGACAGACCCGACTGAATAGCAAGCAGGAGCGAACATCAGTAGATCCCACGTCCATCAATGCGCCATGCCAGCCCACCGCTGAACCACCTTCCAGAGTCATCAACTTGGCCGAGTCCGCTTTCGATCCATCCTCCTGAACATCATCGCGATTCAGCACCCGGCACTCTTCTCCACGACCGACGACTGCAACACATCACCAATCCACCCACCACAACCCGGGCAGTCCACATCCGCATCACATCCACATCCACTGGCAGTGCAGTCCTGTGCTGTGCCGCTCGATCACGCACTCAATCTGTCCTTCTCTCGCAGAACCCACTGCTATCTACAGATACGAATATCGCCTGTCGACTCAAGACCCAGATACTGTTGTATCCCACAGCAACCTTGTGCCGCTCTACCAAGTACCTACGTACCCCAGTCAACACCAGGGCTTCACTCACTGAAGCCAAACGGCTTGTCGGGCGCTCAAACAGACGCCGCCGACCGACCGACACCAGGCCCGATTTGCCTCTCCCCCACACGCACCACCGCTCATCATCACTTGCCTGTCCTGGTTCACCAAACGGCATCCAGCATCCAGCAACAAGCCACGCCCAGCTCCCGGCAACACACCATCTCAGCCAAACCACCACAACCAGCCATTCCCCCCCTTTTCACACGTCTCTGGACTGTATTGTACGCGCAAACCCTCAGACCCTGCCCCCTACACCTTTCCAAAGATACACACAGACTGCCTGTCCCCCAAGCTCGACATCACTTCAATTTAGAGCTTCCACCTGCTTACTGATTGTCCAAGAACACCGCTCAAAGACACGCTCCCCCCCGTCGATCTGCCCACCCTTCAGCCCTCACAGGACAAACAGCCCCCAGGCACAAAGACGAGGTGTACAAAAAAGACGCACGTCGTCTTGAGTCTTGACTCCGACCACCTTAGCAATTCTGCCAGCAAACCCCTTGATCGACACTTTCCACGGCGCACTATCCGTACGCTCGTCCCATCCCTGGTCTTCCTTGTGATCAACCTTTCGTAACCCGCCCTTAGTGTCACCCTAAATCAGTCCATCGGCCACCTCGATATATAACCACCCTGTTCCACACATCCGCAGCTGTCGAACGATTCCCCGTTCGATCCCTCTTACGATTCCTTCTAGATCTCGCCCCACGCAAGACACCTGCCGAAACACCACTTGGACTGCACTTTGACAACTCCATCGCCTCTGCGAAACTACATATACCGCATTTTCAATCCCGCCCACAACTGGATTCTGCCATCATGTCTACCGACAACTCCAACAACAACCCCAACACCAACAACAGCCCCCAGAACGAAATGCACCGTCAGCGCCGCGGCTCCGTCACCCAGCAGGCCATCGCCGGCCTCTTCAGAAGCAACTCAACCTCGACCGGTGCAGCTTTCCCCACAGGCACTGCCGATGCTCAAAGACGCCGTCTGTCCGTCTCCACCGGTCTCGGCCTCACTGGCACTTCGCCCACTGGCCCCAACGCCTTCAACTCTCTTAGACGGGGAAGTCTTTCGACCAACTCCCAAGACTCCATCGATGAGAATGCTGTCGACGAGGAGGAGCTGCCTCCTAATGCTCGCACCGCACCTACCACTCCCTTCACTCGCAGAATGAGCTTTGGAGCTCAGGCGATGCGCAACCTGCGCACCGGCGGTGGAAGTCCGGGATCAAACGGTAACAACCCACCTGCTTCTGCTTCTACTCCTGCTTCCTCTTTGCCCATCACGCCTGCGCCCACCGACAGACGCGGCAGCGTTAATTCCCCGCGAAGCGTTGGGACCGGTGTGAATGCCACACCGCCCAACAGCACCTCGTCCATCGCAGCCGCCCTGTCATCGGCCAGACGTGGCAGCAGTACTGCCCAGGCAAGCAATGCACACAGACAAAGATCATCTTCTGACGTGTTCTCGCGCCCAGACCAAGGTTTCAACTGGTCCGAGCAGCTTAGATCTCGCGCCGAGAGCTCCGTCCAGGGCTCACGACCATCCTTTTCTTTCGGCTCCGGCCTCTCAACCTCGCCTCCTCGTGGCATGCCCAACGGAAATCACGACCGCACCAAGTCTGTTTCTGACATGCCTGCTCCGCCCGCCCAGGCTGCTGCCATGAAGCCCAAGGCTCCCGAGCGACCGAAGCCCGATGCCTTCCAGGAACGCATCCTGAAGGGCGACTTCTACATGGACTGAAGGCAATTATGACAGGCTGACACGAGATGTTGAACATCCGCCATCGCGATGAGCTCCGTTTCGATGGCTGCGTCTTAATGAGTCCAAGGTTTTATGTTACGGAGATCGGCAAAAGATCATTAGCGTTTCATGGTTTTCGAGCGTTCTGTTTGTTTTTTTACGTGGGGAACTTTCATCGTCGACACTTAATCCCACGTGGCGTTCGGTTGGTTCAACCGGTTCTGGCGGATGGTCCGGTTGCGGATTCGACATGGGCGGGGAAGCACCATATCACTCGCACACGTGAGACTGGTTGTCTCACTTTTATCACGGAAGCGGAATGGGAGTGCAATTTCACGAGGAGTTACCACACGGCATGGGGAATCTGGAGGAAGATGATCGCAAATTGCAAAATTTCGGGTTACCAAAACAAAGTTGGTCCGGAAAGAGATGTCTGGCTATTATTGCTTGCAGCCCATCACGAGAGGGGATCTGATGGTGCCGCTAACCGACATGGATTCATGTCTGGCGTATGGAAAGGAGAGGCTACTGTATCGTTACACCGCTGGCGGTTGCCCAGCGAGGAGTCAACATGGGGGGTCTACAGCTCATGGTGGACAGACAGACTGATGAAGCATGGTCCTGTTTTGTGAGGGTACCGTGATAGGTACAGAGTTCAGAGTAAGACAGACGGGAATGAGGGGGTTAGGTTGCGGGCGCGCAGCCCGGATGAGAGGCGGACGAACGGCCGGCAGCCCACGCCGAGCTTTAGCTACCATGAGAAACACGCTCGGACCCGAATGGAAAAGTTTCGTGGTCTCTACCAACACTCGTCTTGCTTGGGAATGTGTCTCGATGTGACCTTGATGCTCTTGACTAGCTTCATGATAACAGCGCCAGAGCGCCTCGCTGCAAGCCAGGTGGCGCGCGAGGATCGTCGGCAACTGACCTCACAAGGGAGGCTCTCGGCGTGGGATAATAACTGGGACCAAATCCCGGATGATTGGTAAACATTCCCATTCGTCAGTATCACGCCCAACTGATATCACAATCTGTGGTCCTGTGGTCCCGTCCCATCCGGGCCATTCGGGAGGATTTAACGTGCATCCGCTGGACCGGGTATGCGATTGTCAAAAAAAAGGGGGATCCATTTGTTTTCATGTTCAAAAGGTATCCTATTTGCTGTCGTGCCTAAAATAATTCCTTCATCCAAAACCCAGGTATCACGTAACGATAAATAGAACAAAATAATGAGACAAGCTTTTTGGCTTTCCCCTCCCCCCCTGCTACGCTCGCTCCACATTGCCGTGTTCCGTAGATACTTTTACAATAAAGGTGGTTTGGTTGATGTTTGTAGGGGAGACATGGACGAGAGTTTTCGACAGAGTTGTTGTTTGTTTGTTTGATTCAACCGCCTTTGCCCTGAAATTATCCCCCATTCCTGGTTCCTTAACCAACTGCGAGACTCGCACACTCAGTCTCATAGCACATCGTCCGATCGTGGCATCATTGTTTCTCCACCGCACACGAAGACTCAGACTGCGACAATTCCATGTGCTTCAATTGGGGGGTTCCCACGGGGCTGAGTCTCCAAAGGGGTTGGAACAGGAAACATCTCCCTTTCTCTGTGCCCTCGTGTCTCTTTTTTCAAACGACGACCCGTCAAGAAAGTAACTTTCCTTCCCCACAGACTGAGGGAGGGAATTGAGTAGAGATGGAGCTGGTTCGGCGTGTGTGTCAGTGACGGACCGGACTTCGATCATCCTTGCTTGTTCCACGCCCCGTGCTTCGCGGATGGGGAAGATATCGCCGGACGATCGGAAGGGAAACTGCACCCGCCGGACGGCAGCCTCGGAGATAGAGCGGCTCACGGCCGATGAGCCGAGTAGCCCGGCAGCAAGCAGCAGCACTAGTAGCGCTCCGCGTCGAAACACCTGAGCCCGTACGTGATGGCGCCGCCCTGAGCTGAGGAAGAAGACGCGCGTGTTTACGCAAGCCCCCCAATCTAGGTCATTCACATGGGAAACATGGGCGGGCCGCCTCCCCCGGGCATTCCCTCAAACATGTCCCCCATCCCCATGACCCCCAGCCCGCTCAGCCACGGGTCCTGCGCCATCACGTACCTCATCCCGCTGCTCAGGCTGCCCGGGCTCGCCCCGAAGCCCGACGTGAACTCCTCGACGCTCAGCCCCTCCGTGAGCCCCACGTCGATGCCCATGTCCTGCAGGTCGCCCGACCACACGGGCGGCATCCAGTTGTTGCCCGCGCCCGTCGTGGTCGCCGCCTCCATGGCCCCGCTGCTCGCCGTGTCGGGGCCCGAGGACGCGGAGGCGTCCATGCCCGGCGTGACGACGCTCGGGTCGTACATGAAGGCCTGCTGCCGTGGTGTCGGCGCCGGGTTCCACATCATGTTGCCGCCTGTCCGCCCTGCAGACGCGGACCGGTCGTTCGTGGCAATCTCAGATAACAGGTGCAAAGGCGTGTTGGCCGCGGGGTCGTACTGGATCGTCGGCGGGGGTTGATAACTCGGCGCCCTCTCCTCCGGCGCCGCAGCAGCAGGCGCCACGGCCGTCTTCTCCGGTGCGGGTGTCGAAGACGACGTGGCCCGTCCAAGCTCCGGCGTTGGTTGGGGGCCACCCACTCCCAGGCCCTTGCTCTGCTTCAGGAACCAGCTGCGCAGCATGACCAGCACCACCAGGAACTTGGCCGCGGGGCGGCTCCTGTCGTCGGACGCGGCGGCGCGGAAGCGCTCCAGCAGCGCGTCGAGGTAGAACTCGACCTTCATGTTGTCCTTGTCAATCACCTTGCCCAGCTCGGAGCCGGGCGCCGTGGCGGAGAAGTACATCTTGATGAGCACCACGACGGCGTATGCGACGCGCACGAAGTTGAAGACGGGCAGGCAGCGGATGCTGGGCACCTCCATCGACAGGAACGCCTCGAAGATGCCGTCGATGGCGGAGAGGCACGCCGAGAGGGCGTTGATGTGCGACGTCGTGAGCTGCAGGTTGGGGAGCATGCCGTCCTTGAGGGTGGCGGTGTCGAACGGCGGGCGGATGTCGTCAAGCTGGGTGTGCAGGGCGATCTCGTGCATGTACAACGACAAGACGTGAAAGCTCATTTTCAACGTGGCTGTGAGAAACACCTCGCGTTAGCATCATACCTTCATTATATACTGCAGGGAACCGTAGTACTTACCCCCCGTCTCCTCCTTGGGCACATTTTTGCTATACTTTTCCAAATCCCTCTCTAGCATCCTCAACGAGTACTGCGTCCTCGAGTCCGTGATATTCGGCACAACTGCCGGGTCGTCCATGGCAAACTGCACCCCGACCTCCTCCGCAAGCCGGTGCGTCCACACAAGATGGCAGAAATACCGGTCCGTCGGAGCCGCCTCGGGGCTCGTTTGCAGCACCTCCATGCTCTCCGCCATGAAGCTCGTCCACCGCACCAGGTTCGGCCGGTGCAGCGCCATGCTCGTGTTCGCCGCCAGAAAGTAGCTCGCCAGCCACGCCCGCCGGCACTCCAAACTCGTCGGATCCGGCGGCGGCGCCCGCTTGAACGGGTGGTTGCGCCACTGGTAGGGCACCTGCATCTTCCTGCCGCCCGTCCGCCGCCCGAGGCCGATGTCGAGCGCCATCACCGCGCCGATGTGCACGAGCTGGTAGAACTTGAGCTCCTCAAAGTGCTCCGGCGGCCAGTACCAAATCACCGCGACCTGCAGCGCCTGCACGATCTCCAGGCTCTTCTCGCCCGTGATGATAATCTTCTCCGCGAATATCTGCATCAGCTCCTTCACCAGCCGGCGCTGCACGTTCGGGCTCTCCGACGACGCCGCCGACATGATGGCCAGGAACAGCAGCGGCTTCGACCGCCGCAGCTCGTCCCCGCTGGTCGACGGCGGGAACACCACTGCCGGCATGTGTGGCATCATGTACGTCTTGTACCTCTCAAACAGCTCCGAGGCCTTCTCGGCGCTCAGGATGCCCCTTTCCACAACATCCGCATAATCTGCCCCCATCTGCATCGGCGGCGCAGGCCTGCTCATCTCCGGAATCTCGGCCGGCGTGTCTCCCCTCTCGCTGAACTTCCTCTTTTGCCCAGCAAGCAGCCCGGTATCAACACCCCTCCGGTCCGCATCCTCATCGCCCGGCGTCGCCGCTCCCCAAGCCCTCGCCATGCCATGATCACCCCACCCCCTCTTGAAAGGCGTCTCCTCCCTGGGCACCGGTTTCCCGAGGACGGGCTGCGGCACGCTCGCCGCAGCGCTCGGAGCCGCCCCCGACGTGCCCCTGGCCTGCAAACTCGCCGTCAAAGCATCGATCTTCTTCTCCAACTCGGCAACCCTGCTGTCCGTCTTCTTCTGCCTCTTCCTCGTCGGCATCGTCACAACGCAGTTCCTCCCCGCCTTCTTGCAACGCTTACACGGGCCCTCCGCATCGTTCGGGTCCGGCTCGCATCGCACCTTCAGGCCGCGACAGGCCTCGCATGCCCTCGGCCGTTTGGGGTCTTCCGGGTTGTTGCCCCCATGGAGCCCGTCGTGCTGCGGCGTCTCCCCGGCGTGCGCAGAGTGAGGTGTCTCGGGGCTCTCGGTGCCCGCCGCCGTGTCGTGGTGATGTCCCTGTCCTTGTCCTCCCTCGGCTCCGCTTCGCCCGGGAGCCGTTGGTGAGGCGGCAGCGGCAGCTGCAGCTGAAGCGTCGTCGTCGTGCGTCGTCGCGGGGCCTGCGGTGGGACCACCGCCGTTTCGGCCGTTTGTGGGCGTCTCGGCGCCTCGTAACGCTGGATCGAGGACCGACGTGCCGTGATCCATTGCTGTGCGGGCGGCGCAAAACACGATGGGCTGGGCGTGCTGCTTTGTGTTGCTGGCTAGAGAATTGGCGATCGGATGATCGGGGGACGGAATTGCGGCGGTTGAACTTGCCGACCTGACTTTCAGCGAATTCGCGCGGCCTGCGAAGTGCCGATACTTCCGACACTAACAATTATTAGTCAGCGTCGTGCCTCGGTGTTCGGGCACTATTAGTCGACCATCCATCCCCTTATTCTCACGCCGAAGGTTAATATGTAGGCACATATATAGGCATGTTGTCAAGTTGAACCAACATCACCATGGATGGAGCTGCGTGTGGTTGAACAAAATTTTGATTTCAAAGCTAAACCAACTATCCAAATATGCTGAGTTGCTTCCAGAAGAGCGCAGTTGAAAGTCAGAAGACGAACTGTTGCAGTTCAATGCCGTCAACGCCATGCTAAGCCCCGGAAAGATCACGCATGAACCGCCGACAACCGCCTGTTGTGCAACCACCCGGGAAAACCATAACGTGGCTCCGTATGATACAAGTTTGACCCGTAAATCATCTGCTCATGCGCCTCGGTTCCAAATTCAGCCTCGTCTTCTACCATTAGGGCCTCGTCTCCGCAGCTCTAAGCTCGTTCACAAATCGAAAAAGAAACTCGGCAACAAAAGGCTACGTGTGCGAAAGGTAGCGATCGATATTAGAACGTAATGGAGCTCTCGGCACCGGTCCGGATTCGGGTTGTATGTTCGGGTATATTGGCGCCGTCATGTCGTCCATGCCCTCCTGGATGGGGGGGCTGGGTTATATAGTAAAACTCAAAAATGAAATGTGCAAAGCATGGTATCAACGCTGCGTGTAAACGAGTGGGTATGTTTGCTGAAGAATCGTGGAGGTTTTGTGGATGGTTGTCCATAAAATAGGCTCAGAAGCGAGTCTCCTCTCGGAGACGACTCTTAGAGCTTTGCGGGTTTAATCCCATCATGTTGCCCATAAAGATGACGCTCTCTCGTCGTTTGTGGGGCTGGCTGTAGCCGCCAGAGCCGTTGTCGTAGCTTTGGGCCACGCCGTGATAACCGTTCGACTCATACCCTTGCGGCGCATACTGAGGCTCATAACCCTGCCCACGGCTGGTCGGGTAGTTTGGCGGAGGTGTAGGTGATGACCGAGCACTGTGCAAGTCTTGCAGCAGGGGCGGCGGTGTTCCGCTAGTTCTCTGCTGGCCTGTCATGGCCTCCATGAGTCTTTGCCGGTGAGGCGACTGGCTCGATCCGGCGGACGTAGAGGGACGCGCTTGCTGTGGGTCGAATGACGGTCGGTTGGGCAGACCATTGGCCATACTCGGCAAAGATCCCGATCGCTCACGGCCGGAATCTCCGTCAAAGGAGGACGGTAACTCATATTCTTCGGGTTCAAAACCGAAGATGCCCGAGTAGTTTTGCAAGAGCATCGCGAAGACGGGCGCTGGAATGTTCAAAGTCGGCGAGAAGACGATACCTACGTTGCGCACCGTCATCTTATTCATGTCTGCGTTGTTGATGATCTTGATCAGGAAAGCGATCAGGTACTTCAGCAGCGTGGCGTTTGCTTGAGGAAGCCTCTGCACCAGCTCAGATAGAGCGAAGATCTTTTCCTTGAGGCCAGACATTTCTGTGACTGCCAAAAACTCCAGGTGAAGGTCTCGAGTAAGAATGGTCGTAGGCAGTTCACGCAGGTACAACTTAAGCAAGGAAGCGACAGCATGAATGTCGTAGTAAGTCTCGTCGGTCACCAGATTGACGTCACCCTCAACGTTGAAGCGCTCGCGGAGTTGCTTGATGACAACGTTGGAGCCACTCAAACGGAAGATGCCTTCCTCCAAGATAGCGTTCTTGGCGTCTAGGTACTGAATACACCTGTAAACGACTGCAGGCAGTGGCACATTGACGTCGACGGGATGGTTGTATCGCACCGCCTCGGCCAATGGTGCTCCGAACGCCTGGCGCACGGGACCGGCATAGCCGCCTTGCGGAGGGGTTGAGGAGCCACCCTCACTTCCACCGAATAAGGAGTCTTGTCCATCAGACGATGACCTAGTCTTGGGCCCGAAGCCGAAGAAGCTGCGTTTCTTGATCTTCTTCTCCTCGTTGACGGGAAGACCGAGGCCAGGCTTGTTGCCCCACTGAGCCGAATCAGCAATGGGATGCATATCTCTTGGAGCAGAGATCATCATCGACGGTTGTGAAGACATTCCCATCGCCTCAGCGTGATGGTGATCTGGCATAGGCCCTCCAGGGCCCCTTGGTCGTACGGGAGCACCGTGCTGAGGTAGGTCACCCTGGGATGTGGCGTCATAACGAACACCGATAAGGTTATCTGACGACTCAGTCGGCTGTTGTTGTTGCTGGGGTTGGTGTTGAGAAGCCGTCTTCTTGTATCTCTGCTTCTTCTTCTCAGCGCGCTCGGCGGCAGCAGCCGCTTGGCGGTCATGAGCATGCTGCTTTGCCGCCTGAGCCTCCTCCTCCTCGGGATCCTTGAAGTCGATCCATCTGAGCAGAGCATCAACCCACTGATCTCTCTCCCGGTCGTTCTCAGCGCAAAGCACGTGCTTCACGTGACTGCTGGAGTCCTTCTTCTTGGGTTCCAAAATGAGGAACGCGTGCCGGTATTGGTTATCGGCCTCTTCGGAGTTTGCTGACTGCTGAGGGGATTGATTGTCGTTGCTCTGGGACTGTTTGCCGATTTGTGCGCTGGGCAACTTGATGGTACCTAGGTGAGCACCACCCGGAGTCTCATAGTACTTGAGGTGAGGACCATCGAGAACAAAGAAGCGCGCCTTCCAACCACCAAAGTTCTTCCCCCGCTTAGTGAGATAGCCTGTTCTGAACGGACGACCACCCGGTCCAACCTTGGTCTTGTTCTCGACCAATGTCTCCATTGACCCGGCATCGTCGGCATTGGGAGGCAATGTGTTCGTCGAGAGGTACTTGCAGAGCTCCAGAGCGCTTGCAGTGTCCAAAGGACATTCGAGGACCTCTTCAAGGTACTGGTCGAGTGCCACTCGTCGGGCATCGAGCTTGGCAGGAGCATGGCCACTGAATAGTGATCTCTCGGGCGTCTTGGCAGTGAAAGCTGAGCACTGCTTCAACCTGGAGTCCAACTTCGCTAAAGAGGCCGAATCCTTTTCAACCCGCCACAACTCTCCAGGCTCAGATCGCGAGAAGATGGCGAGAGTAAACACAGGGTCCTCTTCCAGTTGTGTCAGGGAAATGAGACTCGCTCGCGACGGCTTCATACGCGAGGAAGCAACCTTGACTATGATCGTTGGCAATACGTTAGGTCCGAGCAGCAAGTCGGGGTACTCTTCACTGGCGAATCCCTTGAAAATACGGCCAGGATCACCGCGCTCGATTGGGCTCATGCGGCTCCTGTCGCTAGGAGGCGACTGACTGCCTTTCTTTACGATATTGAGTGGCTGGGGGCTCTTCAATACCATAGGCTCAGAAGGCAGTGGAGTCTGAAGAGAGTGACCTGGAGGAAGGGGGATGGGTTGACGAGGCGGTCGCGGTGACAGAGGGCCGGAGGGGAATGATCCCGCGCCTCTTGGGGAGTGGGCAGGGCTGTCAACCACAGCAACTCCTAGCGGGCGCGGGCTGGACGGCAAACCGGGACTCAAGAGCGGAGCGTCAAGAGTCTGGGGGCTGAGTACTCCAGCCAGAGAGGCAGGAGCGTTGTCGCGGTGCATTCGCTTCGGCGGGCTTGGTGGCAGGTCGGTGGGTGCCGTGGTTGTCTCAGTGGGCGTACTCTTCTTCGACAAGCTCCTCCTCTCCATCTCTTTTTGAACCAAGACTTCCCTATCGCGATCGTCCTCCTCTCGCGTTCTTCTTCGACCACGCGCCTCGCCGACGATTTCATCAACCTCCAAGATGTCGTCGAAGTCAGTATCACTTTCCTCCTCCTCGGCAACAGCCTGGCTTTTGCTACCAAGCTGCAACGGAGCTGGAGGTGGCTTGCGTGGGGGTGGTGCGGGAAATTGGGACAACCCTTCATCAGTAGCCGAGTCGATTGGAGGTGCTTTGGGTGGTCTCGGGGGAGGGACGCTGGGTGGCTGGCTGGGTAGGCTGCGAGATGGTGGCAGTGACATGCTGACAGGGAGGTCCATGAACTGTTCCGCCTCAAGCGCTTTGCGAGCGGCGTCGGCGGCTTGCTCCTCCGCGTCGTGGTTGAACTGGTCGTAGGCGTGTTCATGAGCTCTGGGCATCTCGTGTGAAGGATCCAGCAGCTCGCCGACAGCTGACGGAGGGCCATTCGGTTGATCCGCCGGAGGTGTGATCGGGTAGGGCGCCATGGCCAGGTCGACCGGGGAATGCTTTTGGCTGTCGGAATCCAGAGTCGGGGAATCTGGAGCCACGACTTGTCGCTCTTTGGGAGCGCTGATATCAACCGTCGGTATCGCCTTGTGCACAGGCATTTTCATGACCTTGCTGCTAGTTCTTGAGCCATCGGAGGCTATCGTTTCGGGAACGTTGATAACTTCCTTCAATTTCTTCCGGTATTTTTCCTTGTCTTTCAACGCGCGTTCCAGATCCTTGTTCAGCCCCAGAATCATGGCCCGTTGCTTGTCGACGAGGCGCCATAACTGTGCATTTTGTTGTGACTGTGACTGCTTTTCTTTGAGAAGGTATTGGATCACGGCCTCCGGACTGCCTGCTGTCTTAATCAACGCAGCGATATCTGTAGGATCAGATGATTGGCTGCCGGAGGCGCCTCTTTGCGATTGAGACTTTGTGGAGATGGCCGAAATGGCCGAGTCCATTGACGAGTTCCGCGGTGCACCTTTGCCTGGGTGGCCCCGTGAGGCAGCGGCCGAGCCTCCAGGTGTAGACATTGGGGATCGGGGCGGGCCTGCAGAAGGCCTGGAATTTAGGTACGGTTCGGAGGCACTGCGACTATCATTCGAGGGAAGCGGCGATATTCTCGGTCTGCTGTATTTGTCTGTCAGTCGTGCTACGTGTGGCCGCGCGCGGGGCGCCGG